CCTAGAAAGCCTATGGAGCTTGGGAAGGGTGAAAAAACTGCAGCAAAAGCGGGGGGGGGGGGGGACCGGGTCACCCCCCCATGGGCAGGGGGGCATCACCCGCATAGAATTATGGGGGCGGGATGCTGGTGCACGACCCCCCTGTGCTCCCCCTGCTTTTGGCACAGGAGCTAAAAAAGGTTCGCCATCACTGCCATAGTCATTTGATGCTAAGGTTAATTAAATTCCCAAAAAGTTTGACTTTGAAAGTGCAAGTTTAACCATTACTCAATACTATTGGTAATGAAACTATCCTAAGTATTGGCTTCCTTATGGCTAAAATTATTTCATCTATTTCAGGCAGCAAGTTTAATGCAGAATCCTCAAGTCCAGCAACTGTAAGTATCAACACAGGCCACCTGTGTTGTCATAGAGGTGACAAAGCAAGCATAACATAGAGGATTAGGGTGAGCACACATCACTTTCAGGAAACACACCTAGTGCTGAAATTTCACTGAACAAATTTCTTTCTAGTAATGATTTTTCCGTTTGTTAGGGTAGGATGAAGAAGAGATTATAGCTCTGCTTTTGAACTCGAAGAAAATCTGGCAGTGGAATCTGTTCTTTGATGGGTTCACAGAAAATTTATATGAGTTTCTGAAATTCAAATCATAATAAAATGAGTACATGCATGTTATGTGATGTAGTTTCTATTCCACCACACTTTTAGACTCTATAAGTGACTCATAGAACCAATAGAGTACAAAATATAAAGCTTGTAAGTAGTTTTGAGAGTTAGCCTCAAGCAGGATGTGATAAAGAGCATCAGTGTCTATTGAACAGAATTTGCTGCTCAAAAAATTGTCACTCTGGTGCAGCAACTAAAGCTGAGTAATGGTTATCCTGATTAAGCCTCCATCTGCTGTTCAGGATGTGTCAATAGTTTTGAATGTTGCTGGGAGGTCCAATAGACCAAGAAACTCTACCCATCTGGGTGATGATCAGGATGTTTTGATCACAAGGCCAGGTTAAAATCCCCTACATCCAGGACTCTCTCTAGCCAAATCCTCGTCATATTCTCTGCCTTTATGTAGAAAGGGTCAATTAAAAGCCCAGTGGTATTTGTTCTCTTCTTCAAAGTGACTGGTATAGTCCCTTCCCTTAAAGAAGTATTTTCCATCCCTCAAACTCAGTTGCCTGTTTGTTCCTTGTCTGCTTATATAAGTCCAGGAAGGGAATATAATTGCTCCAAAAGATTCTGCAGGTTTAAAACAGTTCCAGAGAAACTTAGAAGCCATTGCATCAGCTATGTCATTGAATTTTGCCTTTAATTATGTGTGCCGAACTTGCAGATAAACAAGTCCCAGTAGCCTGAAGTTCTTCTCATCTATCATTCCCTAACAGCATGTCAGTCCATCTAAACCAGTGGTAGTCAACCTGGTCCCTACCGCCCACTAGTGGGTGTTCCAGCTTTCATGGTGGGCGGTNGCTGTGATGACGTCAAATGCGCGCTTTCGTCGAGCGCGATTTTGTCCTCCGCGATTTTGTGGTGGAACCGTGATCTCTTAGTAGTGGTTGGACTCAAAATGGGTCTTCCTTCCTCTGTGATTTCATCTCCATAAGCTCTTTAGTAAACCAAGGAGCACTATTATATCACTCCAGTGTAATTTGATCAAACTCCTCAGCTTCCCCTTTATTTTAATGGATGACTAGTCTTAATCGATTCTTGGAAAACTGTGCAGGTGCCTTCTGTAACTTCATTGGATCCATTAGGCACCATGGGTTGATTGATCTGATAGATCACCCTGTGAAGAGAAGTTGTCCAGCAAAACTCCTAAATAAAGAGTGATCTGAGTGTTGTTCCTTTTTTGTTTTTCATGTTCAGTACAGTAGCAAACAATGTGATCTCACTGAACGTCATCCATAACAGTCCATTTCAGTTAACTTAAAATGTCAGCATGTAGTTGTTTCACTTAATCTTTCACTGTGTTGAACATGCTCATGCTTCTTATGTTGCATTTCCCACTAGACCTCTGTTTTTGCATCTTTGCGTTTTCTTTTATATGGCACCATTAATGACCAGGTGTCATGAAGAATTAAATCAATCTGACATGAACACTAATGGAAAATCCTTAGCTCTTTCTCAGTAGCATGTTGAGTGCCATCTGACCTCAAAGGCCCAGCACCAGCCTCTATATTGTCATTCACCATGACTAACATCCAAACTATCCAAGAAGTTTTCTAGTAAAATACAGGAATAGTTTACCATTGTCTTCTCTCATACAATATGAAATGGTGCCTTTACTGTTGTTACTAAAGTAATTGTTCTCTTCCAGCATTTTCCTACATTGCTGCTGCCTTATACATGGGTCTGTTTGCTTTAACTGGGATGCTCTTCACGCCTTGGTGATCCTGCTAGATGTATATACTCTGAGCATGGCCTTCTGATGTTCTTAATACTTTCTGAAAATAAATTTATTGTAGAGGTGCCTATCAAATATATTTGTGTAGATTTATATTCTAATGAAGATAACTTTTGTTGAAATAATACACTGTTGTATTCTTTTTCCATTAAGTTTATGGCCAATGCCTCTTCATTTTCTCCTACCCCAATTTGTTAGGATGGATTTTACAGAAGCCTATTCTGATAGATGTTCGGCTGTTGGGCTTGCAGCCAGAGAAGGCAATATTAAGCTTTTGAAGAAACTAATCAAAAAGGGATACAGCATTGATGTTCCTGATAACAGAGGTTGGATGGCTATTCATGAAGCTGCATTTCAAAACACAAATGAATGTCTAAAGCTTTTAATTCAAGCAGGTAAGGAGAAATGTATCAGCAGTAGTGATATTTATATGCTTTCTGTTTCAGAGTAATAGGAATTTTCAGAGACTCCATTTTTCCCCAGGAGATTAGTTTCCTTAAACGGGTAGATATTTCAGAAATTACAAAAAGCATAAGATCCTTAAACTCTCAGTAGCTTGAGCTGCTGATACTCAAGGAGCAAAAGGTCAAAATTTGGCATTATGATTTTTGGGTTTTTTTTCTATCCTAAGTAGCAAGCAAAACATGCACATTAAAATTCCAACATTATTTTAACACATTTAATCTAAATTCTTTCAAAATATGGCCAAATATTTTCCTGTCTCCCTCTAGGGTCATTATTGCTACCATGACGCTTGGAGGCTGAAGTTATGTGTGATCTTCATTTCCATGATAGCCTTCCCTTGATTTTAAAGGAGATTACTGCCACTTATTTACAAATATATATAAAATGAAGATAAAATTTAGCCCCATAGTATTAGTTCTCCAATTTACTCCACTTTCTAATTTACTCCACTTTCATCTAATTGATGAAAAGTAGACTAATCATAGCTGCCAATTGTCTGTGTACAGCATTGGAAAACATCATTATATCTTTACCATCTTTTGACTTTTGCTAGGTCTTGCTGTCGTTTATAGCATCACTGAATTAGTGGGGTTCTGTGAGGTCATCACCCCAACACCCTACTGTTATAATAATGAACAAATCAAGGAAGAACAGCTTCTATGTTCTTCGGTCAACTATATTTTTCAGGATAAGAGTTTTAAAATCTGTTAAAAAATTTGTGCAGCAAGTATGGAAAATGTACCTGTGTTTTTGCTAAGTACTATCGCTACATGCAAATCAAGCCAAATATTAGTAAAACGATTTCTTCTAAGGCTCTTTTAAAGAACCAAGATATATTACTGAATTATTTTCTTCATGAGAGGATTTTTGATATGAACATTTTTGCTAAATTTTAACTTAATAAATGTTGAATAGGGGTAGAAAAACTTGTGCATCCTGGAATCACTCTTTATTCCTTTTTGGGGATGCAAAAATTGTGGTTGATGATTATTATGAAACTAGAGTGGAGGAGCAAATTAGACTCACCATTGATTGATTGATTGATTGATTGATTGATTGATATATTTAAACGGTATTTAAATGCCCCACAAATGATTCAACGGTGAAATGTTAGAGGCTATGATTTGTATACCTGATATCAAAGTCCAATATTTCATTATATTTCAGAACTATTTCCAGCTGTAAAATAGTAATTGTAAGATTGTATGATATTTGTAGAAAAGTAAATAATTAATAAAACAGCTAAACTGATCCTAAATTGGCATTGCAAAAGGAATGCCTTCTAGGAAAGGGTGGTCTTTACTTTCTCAAGAGAAAGCAGGCAGGAGGCAGATAGACAAACAAGTGTGCTCCTTTTTACATATTTAGATTAGCAATAGAAAGTTGCCTTATACTAATTCAGAGTGATTGTCCAAGTAGCTCAAAATTTCCGTGGCACGACATAACCGCGAACGTCAAAAGCGTGCCGACAACACCGCAGCGCTAAAACCGCGATGTCAAAAGCGCGCCGACAACAGCGCGCCAACAACAGCGCGCCGACAGAAGCACGAT